TGCTTCTGGATCCTCTGTCTTCCAGACACCCTGGGAAGCCCAAAATACTCAGATATCCTTGGGATAACCCCTCAACCAGAGCAAGTGGAGCTGTTCTCGTGGTCCCGATTGCGATTAAGGGAGACAGGTGTGCATTTCCAGCGAGGAAGCAGGGATGGAGGAGAGGGGAATGCAGGGGCGAGAAAGCAGCGTGGCCCCGTGCCCGGGTGGCAGTGACAGTCGAGCACAGCCAGCACAAGTGCACATGAGGCAGCCGATGAGGTTAGAGAGGTCCCGAGCAGCCTTCCCGTTCCCCGAGGCCGGGGGGAATTATCCCATCCCTGCCCAGCTTCTGCCCCGGCTCCTCTCCCGCGCTGGGAAAGCGCTGCTGGAGCCACCCAGGCCCAGCTCTCAGCCCCATTCCCCTCCCAGGACACCCCCAAAAAGGGCTCTGTGCTCCGAGGTGCACGGAGAGAGAAAAACCCCATGCCCTGCTGTAAAAAGATGGGGCTGAGGGATGGCTCCGCTCCCCCGGAGCCTGGGTACGTCAGAGAAGGCAGGGCCACGGCGATGGGTGTTGCGGGGGGAACGTGCGTGTGCAAGGCTTGGGTTTGTGTGCAGCGTGGCACGGGGATGCGATTCCGAGCCGCGGACCCGTGGCGAGAGAGGATTTGGGGCCCGTGGGTGTGACTGAGCAGGGGCCGAGCACACGCCTGGAGGAATGCGGGGATGTGCGGGGTGAAGGGAGGGGAGATGCGGGAGGGGATGAGGCAGACAAAGAGCACTGGGGCGGGCAGGGGGACACCCCCGGCCCTTCCCGGGGGGGTCCCGGCCAGCTCTGGTGGGGACACCCCGCAGGCAGCCTCTGCTCGCTGTGCTTTGATGTGTGAGCGTGCAAGGGCAGGAGCGTTAGCACGAACGCCCGAGCGTCGCCTCTCTGTGACACTCGGGGCTCGCCGCTTCGTTTTCACCGTGGAGTTCCCCCCCTGCGCTGGCACCGGCTTTTTGGGGGGTCGTTTTTAATCGCAGCCGCTGTAAAGTGAAAAAAAGAAACAACCAAAAAAAGCCGCGCTGAGATCCCGCCTGTCCCAACAGATTTTGGGGTTTGCAGTCAACGGGGTCCTGGCAGCGCAGCCCCCTCCCCTCGGGATGAAGGACTGGGGGGCATTGCGGGGGGTCGGTGGGTGTCTGATAATTCTATGGCGGTGTTGGCAAAATTTCCAGTCTCTCTGGCCGAGGAGGTTTTCTGTGGGAGAAGGGAAACGGGAAGTGAGAGAAAAACAGAGAGGGGCAGAGAGATCGGAAGGGAATGTGTGTGAAATGAGAGGGGGAAACGAAAAATAGAGAAGCATAGGGTGTGGAGAGAGAGAAAGGAGGAGGGAGAAAGGGAGGAAGAACCGAGAGAGGAAAGAGAAAGAATTGAGGGAGGAAAAAGGAAAGGAGACAAATAAAAAAATAAAATGAGGCGAAACGGGGAGGAAACAAAAGGAGAGAAACAGAAAAAAAATAAAATGAGAAAAGCAGAGGAAAAAATGTGAGAGAAATAGGTGGAAAAAGAAAAATAACAACAAATTTAAAATAAATAAAAGAGAAAAACACGGCAAAACACAGACAGAGAAATACAGAAAACCGGGGAGGAAATTAAAATAGGAGAAAACAAAAAGGAAAAAATAAAAACCAACCAAGAAAAATAAATAAAAGCAAAGACGGGCAGATCGAGGTGGAGAGGACGAAGGCGGTGGAGAATAGGGCAGGGCGGCGGGGCAGCCTCGCCCGGTGCCCGCAGGAGGGGCCGGGCCCGGCGGGGCCGCGCGGTTCAGCACCCTGGAGAGCTCCGCGGCCCCGCCGGGCCCGGCGGCACCGGGGCCGGGAGGGGCTCGGCGGGACCCGGCGCTGCTCGGGGCCGCGGTCCCAGCGGGGCGCTCCGTGCCGGGGCTCAGCCCTGCCGAAGGCACCGCTGTCACATCCGTGCTGGCGCCGCACTCCTCTGCCACGCGGGACGTGGAAGGCGAGGAGCGGCGGTCCTGCTCCACTTTCCCCCTGAAAACCGCCCCTCGCCTCTCCCGTGGAGCTGCCCCCACTCCCTTGCCGGAGCACTTGGTTCTGCGTGGCTGCGGGGCGCGCTCAGCCCCCCGTGTGTCCCCCCGTGTGTCCCCCTGTATGTTCCCTCGTGTGTCCCCGTGTGTCCCCCCGT